ACTTTACAGAGTTTTATTGCCTCTTCCGTAAGAATATACATTCCCAAGAGCCTATTCTGTATGTGTATTAGCGCAGGGCAATTAGAATAGTTTTGAATATATTCAAGAAGTTAAAAGATTTTACTGTTAACGATATCAGTAAATTCGTTGTTTTAATGCCGACGTTAGTTAATAGCAGAAAATGTAATTTAACTGAACTTAGTATGTAACCGCCTTTGAAGAAAAAACAGCAATACTTTATTAATGAAAATAAATGAAATGAATGAAATGAAATGAATTAATGAAAATATTCATATAGAATAAAAATGTTGTTTATTCTTTATTAATTGGCATTAATTCTGCAGAAATTATTTTTATTTATATAAAAAAAATTATCCTTAAATTGAGCATATTCTAAACAGTAAAGGCTACAATAAAAAAACTCGGCCATCGATAATGAATGATTGATTTTCTTAACTAACAATAGATTACTGGTAGTTGTACAACCTTAAATTGAAATTGTCTAATGTTGAGCCTTTTCCGAGTTAGTGAATCCGGGCACTTTTACTCTTTGATAGCTGAAGAATCCCACCCATCTCACTGACTAATATGTGTATTCCTCATAAGCTTCATGATTATTAAATTAGTGATTACTCTGAGATTAGATACTGCTAAGACAGGCTGCCCTGTCGGTTTTCGCATATAGCTTTATGTATTTTTTGACCGAATCTATTGTAAGGTTTCTTGGAATTTCTTAAAACGGCTTATAATTTTCAACTGATTGTTTAGTCAGTCTTGAAGATATTTCTGAAACTATTATTATATAAACTACATATCAATAATTAAACAAAGATATAGCCTGTAAAGACTACGAAATTTCATATATTTTAAAAGCCAACAAAGCAGAATAATAAGGGAAATAACTTTTTAACACTCCTATTATTATCGAAAATTAAGAAATCGTTGTATATATACAATTAGACATAATACATTCCAAATATTTCATGAATTTATTATAAGACTTGAAGAGTCATACAATTGGACACTTTAAATTTGATTTGATTAATATTACAAGGCAAATTATGTATGCATTAAATCATAGTCGTAGACTTTGCAAATTAAGTGCTAATCCAAATAAGCCTATTTACACTAATTAAAAACTATTTATAATAAATAATCCATAATGTTTGATTCGAATAAATAAATGTTCTTATGCTCATAGGACATTTTCATACAGACGTATGCACAGATGCACCCACATTCCAACTTACTTAAAAACAAACTTAATTTGCATATTTTCCTCAAAGTCATACGTTTGTGTATGTGCAACATGTTGTCGGTTCCCTTGGCTGCGACTTGTTGCAATTCATTATACAAATAAAGTAATTCATAATTTCGACTAATTGCAGGCAAAGATAAACTCTCCATTAATCTTAATGCAATCAGCTTTTGGCAGTGCAATTGTTGTCCTAATTAAACCAATTAAAATTAATTGATACTTGCATACATAAAAGATAAATTAACACATACAAAGCCAAGCACACACATACACACACATCACAGGAACGCATATTAAAATGTAGTTCTCAATTAAAAAGCCATAAATACTTTTAATAAGTGACTGCAGTGTGAATGAGTGTTTTGGGTGGCAGTTCGTTGTTTTGATTAAAAGTTTAATTTCTGCTTTAAAACATATAAAATGCTTACGAAATTTAAATAAATAAATTAATTTTTTTTTTGTTTGAAATATTCATCCACACTAATAAAATTTACGATATCCATTGGAGCTAGTGGCAATTTATCAGCAACAATATAATTTTCCATTAACGGATACAAAAAAAATTTATTGATGCAGATGGTGCATGTGCTACGCCTACTTTTATGTGCAATTAAATTTAAATAAACGTTCCCAGTTTATTATTGTTTATACAACATTTTTTAATGTGCACTAATTTTAGCAATAAATTTCTCATATACAATATTTTACTCAGTTCGACTATTCTATTTTGTCCATAAATGCCTGCACCACCCTGACCACTATTTCGCAGCTGTAAATAGGAACATAAATTCTTATAAAGTCATAAAGCAAGGACGGATGTGCTACGTGGTCTGTTTTTTCATTCTAATATCTACCTGATGTATTTTTGTTTATTTCGTTTTTATATGCTAGAATCCTCTTCAGCTAAAAATCTTTTATTTGTTTTATAAAAAAGATGATTTTTTTTTCTTATGTTGAAAGCAAAACAATTTATATATCAGCTATTGGCTACAATGTAAGTTAAGGATATCATCTATCTTGGCACCATTATTACTAACAACAACGATGTCAGCTTAAAGATTAGATAAAAAATTACGATTGCCAAAAAATGCTACTATAAGTTGAGTAACAATTAAAATATAGTGCGATCTCTCTCGTTCAATAAAACTTACCCTCTATAAGCCGCTCATCCAACATGTGCTTCTGTATGGCGCAGAAACATAATTGCTATCACAGAATAATGAAACAACACTGGAACTATTGTAGAGAAAATTTTTTTATAAGGTCATTAGTCTTCTATGAGTCTTCATGAAGTCATGAGTCTTCATTCCGTCCAGTACCATATCGGAATGAATCGCAAACTGAACGAGACTTATCAGGGTTTTGACATCATTCAGCGAATTAACATCCTGCGGCTTTGCTGCCTTGATCATATCGTGTGAATAAATAACGATTCTTCAGCGAAAAACATGTTCGAAACGGCACTGTAGGAAATAATCATGTTTTCGGTGAGGTAATCAAGTTGAGAAACCACTTGTCTCTTTTAGTGTATGAGACTGGAAAAGGCGTGTACGCAATAGCAACCTCTAGAGGATCGACTGGAAAGAAGTGGCGTTAATCCACTTATGTAACTTATATTAATTATGTGGTTCATACTATTCCGACCCAGATATATTTTGACGAAAACTACCATGTTCTTAATATGAGTTGAGCAAGTAATAAATGTTGCCAAAAATAATTCTAGAGCTATTTTTAGTAAAAACATATATTATTATTATATTTTTCTTCGGTTTACTTGTTATTGAATTATTTTATATCTATGTTATATAAAATAGATTTAATGTTAATCCTTTAAAAATAAATAGATTTAATGTTAATTCTTTAAAAATAAATATTATCTTCTTTAAGTGATTTTTGTTATTGTTAAACAATTTTAAATTATTCTCAGTTTTTTCCTTAAGTACTAAAAAAAATATACCAAATCTACGCGCGTTAAGAAAAATATTCCTCACTTCTCGGTATCTTAGCCGGTCTAATATTTTACAAAGTATTAGTACCCTTGTGAAACTAAATTGTATTGATTTATTTTCAGCAGTTTGAGGTTAATTTGAGACTTGAAATAAGTCTAAAAACATTAATTCCAGAAATCTTCAAATTTCCCTTTTATCCTTCTAATGATGAGGAAGTTTTCATATACATATCAAAATCGAAAATAAAAAGAAACAAGCACTATTAAAATATTTTAAAATTATTTTTTTTAAAAAAAAGGAGTGGAATTTCAAACATGGTATCTAAAATAACAAGTTTTTATGTAGCATGTGTGTTGAAGATACGAAATCCAAATTTCCAAAATTTGATAGAATTTGTTTAAAATTTTTAGTAGTCGACATATAGGTATATATCCCAAACTGTTTGCTGCAGTTTGACGGCATGTAACATAATATGTTAAACATATACAATAAATCGAAAGTTCATTCATATCTCGTAAACTGTTTAAAAATGTATTCAATTGTTTATTTTATGTATATTTTAGAAATGATTGAATTCAATCTTGAGTAAAAAACAACACATATTTTTTGCATTCTGCCATTTAGACACGTATTTGTCGTGTTATTCAAAACAAAAAAAATCAGGGTTAAATTTGTTATTTAAGAAGTTCCACTAAAACTTTATCTCTACCTCTTTTCTATATTTTTCAGAGTTTAATAATTTAAAAAATATTTTTAATATATCAACTAATTTGAACGAAACAGTTTTAAATTTGTCACACAGATGGTTTCACTTAAATTAATTTGTTTCGAATTAAAAAATGTGTCTCCATTATACTTAATTAAAAATTTAATGAAGTAATTAATTAATAATTTATATTCACAAATGCGGTTTACATTTATATGTGTAGTACGTGAGGTACAATAATGTTCAGAACATAAAGTTTTTAATATTGTAAAATTAATTAAATTGTAAGTAATATTTTGTAGAATACTTTTTAACTTCCTCAAGTACTGTCAAAAACTTTATATAATATCTATAGTTGCATTTATTTTTACAATGCGAATGGTATTGTCAATTAACATATGTATACATATATAGATACTACTAAATATATATTACTTAAAATTTATTTTTAAAGTAATATATTTTTATATTAAATAATATCGTTCAAATAGCATAAAAGATAATTTGCAATGATATGTCTTCCTACTTTAATTATACATTGTATTTATGTATACTATATTAATATACTCTAAAGTACTTTAATGTCTTTACTATGTTATATTATTTTTAATCACGATAAGTGCTTAGTTAAAGTCAATTACAAATATTTTTATCCATGCTGTGCTATTGTACTGTTAAATTTATATGTTTGCATGTTTGTGTTTTAAATACTTGTAAACTTAAGTATGATCATTTAAGTCTAATTAATTTAATTAGCTCAAATTATGCTAATCAGGCAATGACTGATTCAATTAAGTCTTGTTTTTTATTTTATTTACTACATAATTAAATATATATAAATATATATATATATATCTATATATGTATTTAATATTAATTTATGCATTCATAATTGAAACTATAGAAATTATGAGTTTCTATGTTGTTTAGTGTAAACAATTCAAAGCAATAATTATATTATTTTTAATTTAATTGTATAAGTTTTCGGTATAGAATTTATGTGTGATAAAATAATAAATAATTTGCTATTAAAATGTTTTTACATATTTGCAATTGTATTTTACTAATATTTGAAATAATTTTATAGAATTCCAGGATATTCAAGTGATGATATTTATTGGATTTGGCTTTTTGATGACATTTTTGCGTAAATATGGTTACAGTGCAACAGGTTATACATTATTTTTAGGTGCACTCGTTATCCAGTGGGCAGTGCTAATAAAGGGTTTCATTCACATGGAAGGTGGTAAAATTAGGTAAGTAATGAGAATTTTAATAAAACAAATGATACTTAACAAAATATAGTGAATAGCAATAATTATTCCATTTATATAAATTAAATTAAAAATTACAATGTAAAATTTTGAATTTAGGAAAACCACATATGTGTTTTATTTAAATAGCGTTCACATAAGTAATTGTATTATTTTAAACGCAAAAGCTTGATATATTAACAGTTTTTTTATGTAATAAAACACAGCTTAGAATATTTTAAACTTTAAGTTCATGCCTTGCTGGTAACAGATTCCAGATATGTTACTAAAATTGTACTGTAATTATTAACTTAACAAAAAAAAATATTTACAGCAATCAAAAAATTTATTTAAGTCCTGCTTTAATCTACTCGATGATTTTTAATAATTTCATTCAAGTATATATATAATGTAAAATAATATACTATAATACAGTGGAAGTGCTTTTATAAATAAGACCTAAACTTACACAAACGATTTGGGAGAAAAATTTGATGTCTAAATATAATTCTTAAGGCTATTTTTTTGAAAATAAAAACATTTTACTTTAATCAGCATATTAAACTTGAAAACCATATAAATATAAACAATAAACTGAATTAATAAACTAAAAATGTCAAAAAATGGAATATATGCAAGGAAATTTATTAAATTAAATAAATACTTAAATCTTCAGTAAATGATAAAAATCAAATTCAAAACAGAAATTATTTTCCGCTTACGTTAATTAATTATAATATTAATGAAAAATTATAACTACATGAAGTATCTAATTACAAGTTCCAACAATATACAGTAAATTAGTAACAATAAATATTACACTTTTTAACAATAATAAAAGGAGGCAGTAGAGCAGAACACTACGACATAAGTAAATCTTTTGCGCTTATCTAATCCAATAGACTAAATTATGTCTTTATTTAAGGAAATTTGTAACGAACCTATTTCGCACATAAAGTTACATTGATATCTGGAAGACCTAACGTACGACGCAGATAGAGGCTTTGTTACAGAAATGTAAATTTCTTTGTTATGGAACAAATGGGTTCGTGGTGGAAATGTAAATTTCTGCCACGCCTTGTAAGGGTACTAACGAAATGTATATTTCGTATGCCCAGGAACGATATATTTATTTGATGATCGCAAATGGGAATTGTTATTATCTTGGGAATATTCACTAACGCAATGTTGATTTCGTTAGCTGTGGAATGGTATGGGTAATAATACCTTTGGGTAACTATCACCTTACCACTGATCTGCTAATGAAATGTTGATGTCGTTAGTAATAAATAAGCAATAGAAATGCAGATTTCTATTACTTAATAACAAAATGGGAATAGAAATGTAAATTTCTATTCTTTATGCTTTAGCACGTATGTTTTTTGTGATCCGTCTTCTAGCTCGTTACCTTGCTGAATGCCTTGGTTGCATTTTTCTCCCGCCTTTTATACCGGAGAAGTGTGATGTACTCTGGTGTTCTGTTTACAAAATTTGCCTATACAAATTTTATTATTGTTTTGTTGTTATTTATTATATTATATTTGATGGTGGTCATTTAAACAAAAACAATTTAATATATAAACAAGTAATATATTAAAAAATTTTACATACAACTTAACTTCTGTCAATACAATTTGTCTAGAAAACTTATAATTGCGTCTGGTTCTGAGTAGTTATTTATGAAACATTCAACTTTTATATTTTCATCTTGTTAATTAATAGTCGTAGACTAATTTTCTTTCGTCTACATAAATTTCAACAAAATATTCGAAACATTCAATTTACTTAGTTACTTAAATGAAATCATTTTTTCTTATAAATTCTTTTTGGTTCTTTAGCTTTTTCTTATTAAAAATTACGATACAAAATAAATTCTTTGTCCTCTAATTTATATATCCCTAATATGTTTAGCCTTAAGTGTACGCACTTTTAGTGCTAATTAATTTCTTATTTTGTTGCACATTTGTCTGCAATTACGACCACAACTGATTCCTTTTGGAAAAAGGATAAAACTTTATAAAAGGAAGAAAACGCTTTAAGCGCACCAAAGTTCATTCGTGCCGTAATATTAAAAGAAATATCAAAAACTCATTTAGTGCAGAAGGATAAATACAAAAAAAAAACAAAATAAATAAAAGTAAGGACGAAACTAGTTAAACTTACTGCAACTTGAAATATATATAAAAAAATTAAAAAGATTCTGAAAAAATAGATTAAGATTTTATCTGAAAATAAATAAAAATGCTACAGCAAAAGTTCAAGGGAATGGAACATTTCCACCGGTTCTTTGAACCATACAATTCATATAAGCATGCATTAAAAACTTTTTAATTTTATATTAAGTTTATTTAAAATATTATATTTTTTATTAAAATTTAATTCAATTTTTTATATCATAAAAATTCTGAATTTAAAATAATTTAATGTAATTGAAGTTTAAATGGTTGAAATAAGTACATAATATATACACTTAAGTTTTTTTAAGGTTTATACAAAAATATTATTAGTTATATTAATATATTTTTATATATATTTAATATATATATATGTATTCTTTTATTATATTGTACTTTTAATTTCAGCATGCGTTAAGTATATTTCTCTAGATCTTGTTTTTATATATAATCAACTAAATTATATCCTTACTTTTAAGTATGCAAACTTAACATTCATGAGGAGAAATTAATCTAATTAAAATAAGTATTTTTTGTTTTCATGACATTTCACACTTCAAAAATCATAATTTTAAACAGTAAACGGTTTTAGCTTATATTATCTTATACCAAGTACCATTCTAGGTATTTAAATTCTTTAACCGATTTGAAGTGTATATCATCTAAAATAAATACATCTTGTTTTCTACCATTACTTGATCGTATTATATATTTTCTTTTGTTGTGATCAATCCAAAATAAATTCTGTTTCTAGAGTATGTATGTTATGCTCCATCACATTGCTAGCAGTACTTGGACGTATATGTTTCCTTTTAATGTTTCTAAAGCTCGTTCGCTTAAGCTTTGCTTTAAATAGCATTACTGAAAACCTGTGCTTATGACATTATATATCGTATCATATTACTTCATAAGAGTTTGTAAGTTCTCATGGTATGAAGGCTCCATTTTTTGTGTTAATTGAATTAATTCTTGACATAATCAATTTACAATAGAAACAAACTCACTTTTTATCAAACACATCATTGCCTATTCAAAGCTAATTTCAAACTTATATGACTCACAGTAAGTTTATAGCGCACAACTTAAAAAGCAACAATCCATTTGGGGAAAAAAATTAACAAAAACTTTAAGATTGCATTTCCGCTTACTATATGCCGGTAAAAACTTATATCCTTCCGTTGCCGGTTTTGTGCCAGTACACACCTTATGATCAACACACAAAGCCAGACAAAGCCACTTAAGATGCGCCACAACTATATTTACTTATATACGTTGCATTTGCTGTCAGCTTTTTCGTGAAATTCGTATATGGAATTGTAGTTGCAATTCTACTTCATATTTTTAAATATATTTTTTTTTTTGCTGTTTTTCAAGAGCTCTACAAACTTATAAACCACGCTTATATTGCCAACATTTACTGCAGTTAATGCAATTGGTGCACAATGCCGCTGTTAGGTACTAACTATAACACTCTTAGAAAGGATGTTAAAATTCTATAATCCTTACACATTTTGCTTTATGCTTATCCTTATTTGATACGGTTTTTCCTCTTACTTTCCTACATTTAGCTTATCGTTAGAAAACATAATTGATGCTGACATCGCTGCTGCAGTACCATTGATTAGTATGGGTGCCTTACTGGGACGTACCACGCCCATTCAATTACTTTTTATGGCACTCTTCGAAGTCGCGCTGTTTGCTGCCAATGAGTACGTTGCTTTGGATATCTTAAGTGTAAGTAAATATGTGGAATGAAACGTACTCTCAAATATAAGCACTTTCCTAAGATATGTATTCATTTTAAAATGAAATCGTATATGTACTTATTTTAAATATAGAATGTATTAGAAGAAACAGTGACTCATTGTTAGATTTATAACTTCATAATGTTTCATTAATTTCAACTAAAAAATTAGTCAACCCTGAAAAGTTGTTGGATAAAATAAAAAAATTGTTAACAAATATACGGTGATTCTTTATATTATTAGCATCAAAAATTTATATTAACCACTTTTTTATAACCAGGATTTGAAACTAATTTTTTTAACATATTAGCCTTAAAAAACAAAAGTTAATATAACTATATTCAATAAAATGCGTTTATTTTTGTTAAAATTTAAAATAAACTAAAAAAATAGTATTAAGATAATCTTTGATCCCCTTTGTTAAATAATTGCTAAAATTTATTAGTATGTATTCTTAAGTAGTAAACTTGAACTTGTTGGCATCGAGTCGCCATGCATAGGTCTCTGGATCACTAGTTTATATTAAGTCACCATATATCACTAGTTTATATTAAGTCACCATATACAAGTATTCTTAGGAAGGTAGGCTGAACTAGTTGCATCAAGTCACCACGCATAGACCTCTAGGTCATTAGTGGTACACTAGTAGTACTTTACAAACCTTAGACATAGTTAGTAATGTAGTATCCTTATTAAAGGTTACGACTGCATACGTTAATTGTCAAAGAATTTCATATCTTTAGTTAGAAAATTATAGCGTTCTTTGCATCTGAACTTATTCATTTGTTTATTAACGTCACCTTTGCATTTTATTTTCACAGATTTGTGATGTTGGTGGGTCAATTACTGTGCATGCATTTGGTGCGTACTTTGGTTTGGCTGTTAGCATGATTTTGCGTCCAAGTAAAGACCAAAACGAAGCCGGTAAATACGAAGGAGCCAATTACACATCAGATATTTTTGCCATGATTGGTACGCTGTTCCTATGGGTATATTGGCCAAGCTTTAATTCAGTACTAGCTGCAGGCAGCGGCCCTGAGCGTGCCATTTTGAACACGTATTTATCATTAGCAGCTGCAACAGGTAACATGTCTACATAACTAAAATGATTCATAAGAAACGCATCTCATATATATATGCACAAGATGGTGCATTGCATCCTTTCGTAACTAAACATATCTAACACTGTTCCTGCTGTGCACTAAAGTATTAAAGCTTGTCGTTCAGTTGCTTGCACAGTTGATCGCTGGTATTTAAATCAAAGCATTCTTCGCATCTTCGGGCTCTGTACATGTAATGTCCTTTCACAAATATTTGTACGGATGTAACTACATTCCTACTACAGAGAACTGAACTTAATTTTTACTTGTCGTTGTTTACATTTATTGTACAAAATATGTTTTGATATAAAAATTGGATTTAAGAAACATGTGAAGACTTGTTACATGTTTTCTATTCTTAGAAAAATTTAAAACAAAAAATCAAATAATATTTTAAAAAAATGTTTTTAAAACTTTTATTAAATAAATATGTAAGCACATACGGATAAAAAAAAATAGTTTGACCCAATATATTAAAAACATAACTGTAACAAAGCTGTGACATGGTTTACTTTACACATGCATATACATATATGCGTCTATTTTTGATAGCACAGAAAGCTAGGTTCTTACATTATTATAAAGTTATTTAATATTATTTATATAAATTTATAAAAGTACTGATTTTAAATATATTTAACTTTGTGTTACAAATAATTTCAAATTATGTTTGAGAATATTATTAATTTATATTTGCTAAAATATATCATTTGCATTAGAAAAGTGCCCTATAAAAATCATTTGTGAGTAAAGTCTTCAAGTTCTTTAATTTCTAAACATATATAATGTTGTAACTTATTGTAACTATAATCACCACCGCGGGATAATGGTTAGAAGATATAAATCCGGAGATGTAAATCTGCTACCAAGGCTTACAGCTTTGACTGTTCTGACCAATTGAGATTGGCCCTTTAATGGGAGTATCATGGTGGCTGTAGTTAGAATGTCTATATTTATTATTTTTACTCAATGTTGAATTGCATTTCACAACCACGTGCTGTATCTTGAAGAACAGCAGAAATGTTAGATGAGCCTCGCTTGCTGTCAATAAGGAAACTATATGCATACTTCAATTGGTACAAGCAGAATACCAATGGGAACGTTTATTATTGCATTATGTTGATACGTGTATTGAGAGCACCATGATGTGAAGCCTTAACAGCATGAATTCACGTTAAAAAATTAAGGTCTCTATAACTATAATCATATCCTCCTTAAAGGATAGTGTTTAACATTATAAAGTATCTCAAAGAATCATAAAGTTTAATTATTGTTACATTAACTATACATTGCAAAAATAAGATATCCATGCTTCCTTTCCTATGATTTCAAAACTTTAAATAATATAACTTTTTTTTCTTCAATACGAAATAGTCCAGGGTAGACTATTCTCGCCTTTACCCCTCATCTTTTTACTTCTTACTTACTTATTTCTACTTACTTATAATTACTTCTATAATTAAGTATAACCGGTGTTTTAAGTTGAAGTCCTCAAGTATTCTAGTTTTTTAAAATATATCTTACAAGTGTCTCATATATATCGCAAGTATATCTCATACTAAATTAATTAGAGTAATATGGGAGTCTCCATTTTTAAAGAAATGGCTTGAAATTATTTTCCATTTAGTACGCTTATTTTACGTAAACGTGTGACAAATAACCTAGCTGTAAACATTGCGGCTTTTAAGTAGTATACTTTTCTGCTATTTAAGATATAGGTATATTATATTTTTATTACAATATTTAACAAATCACAACAAGGGTCAAAACCATAGTAATTTTATGCTATGATTTCAGAATATTTTCAGTGGTACTTTAAAAATGTTTACCTTAAGCTACCTCAACTTTTACTATTCTCATATATATTAATGTTTCACTTACCCAACAACATTTTAACTTAAAAATCAATTAAATCTTATTTTTACAACTTAACTACATGGTTTCCATGCCTCGAACTACTACCGGATTTACCATTTATGCTAACATCTTGCGCTACACTCTACAACAAGTTAAGTTTGTTTAAAACAAAATCTTATTACTTATGTAACATATAGTTATCATGTCGAATAAAAAAAATAAATAGACGGTTAGAAAGTTCACATTTTTGAAATCCAATATCTCGAGAACCTAAGTATATAAATCTAATTAAAATGAGGTTTACAAAGTTACTCAGAGTAATGAAATTTACCAAAATCTATTGTGAAATCACTGCGAATAGAAATTGTAAACTTGTAATTTAGTTATTATTAAAAAGGAGGTTTAGAAGAAGATTTAGTTAATAACCTATTAAATTTATTTGTCAAATTCAAAATAGAAAGATATTATCTAATATCTGGATAACACAAAAACAATGATACTTTAGCATATAAGGATTAGTCCTCTTTGCCGATCATTTATATGCACCTTTATTTCTTTGTAGCCGACATTGGTCTTATAGTCCTTTTTGTTATGTCTGTTTGTACGCACACATTAAGTAGTTTAAATTAACACCAATGGTATCGTTTCTATATTGCGAAACAAATAATACAAAAGGAAATATATACAAAAAAAACTAAATAAATAAAGGTGAAAGGGTACAAGCACAACGGTTGCTGGTAAGGCAAATGGGAATACACAACTTTCAGCTTCTCTTAATACTCTTAATACCAACACCATCAAACCTAGCCTAACTTTAATTATGTTTACGATACAACAACAAAACAAACAACAATGAAACCAACAACCAACAAGTACCAACAACAAATTCTTTCAACAACACTGTGAGATTGTGTATGTGTAGGTGTTACTGTGTTGTAGGTTCTGTGTTACCTATGCTGTAGTATTAAATACTTAAATGTCCCATTTTGTTGTATACTGTTGGTCAGCGCGTCCATAGCTACTATGAAGATTGCAGCAAACGCCTTTTTGTATACTTTTAATTTGTTATTTTTTTGCTGCTATTTACATTAAAACATTTGTTGCTTATTTCGTTATTACGTTGTTCCGTTGTTCCGTTGTTTATGTTCAGTGTGTGTTGTTGTTTTTTTACAGTATTGGTGTTGACCACGCGGACGGACTCTAACTTTTTAAGCTTTTTTGTTTATGTTGTTGTTGTTGTTGTTGTTGGGTGTAGCGTTATTCCAAGTGCACAAGTACGTGTTTAAAATAAATTTCCTAATGTGTTGAAGAAACTTTTTGACGTTTAATTAGTTTGTGAGACGAATATTAAAAAATTTGGGTTGAACCAATGAAAGGAAGAAAAATAGGTTTGACAATATTACCAGAAATAATTTAAAATGTTAAATTAATTTATCAGCAAATATAATTAAAGTGTTGAAAATTCTTAGAAAATGAAATATCGCTTTTTTAATTTAAAAATTTATTTAAACCATTTAAACTTCGTTTAGCCATGTCATTGACCAATTTCAATAAATATTTTTTCTTATTTAAAATACGGTAGCTCAAAAAATTAATTCAAAGTTCAAAATTTTTTATGTATTAACTATAGCTTTATTTACAAAAAAACAATTTAGAGGGTTTTCGAAAGACAAACACAAAAATTTATTTAATTTTATTGAAATTTGGCTGACCATACAACGCTGTTTTGAATATTGCCAAGTACTTATCATCATTGGTCTTAGGAAATAATCGAATTTTAATTAATTTATAGTTCGTATATAATTTGTTTGGATCGCAAGTGCCAGGCTTAGAACTCGTACCTGTCAAATTAGAAGCAATGACGAATCGTGTTTATCCACAAGTAGCCAAAAACAATATTTAACTAATACTACATTTTTATCTTTAACTTAAAAGCATTACTTTTAAAAGTTATGCTCTCAAATGAAGCTGATTCTTAGCCAAATATTCTCTATAAAAACTCTTAAGCAATATTATATCTTCAGGTTTATAATAATCGTTATAATACTTAATAATGCTTTTTGAAATTATTCTTTAGTTTTTAAATAACGTCATTTAGTACTTCTTCAGTTAGATAGTACTTTTAATATTATTTATTTAAATGTATATACTTGTACTGAACTGAAGCACCACATACCACCACCTTACTGAAATGGACAACGCTTGATAATAAACATATATCAAAAACTTAATATTAAAATCCATTACACAGAAGATTTTTTAAAATCATTTTTTTTAATTATGCTTTGGTTTTTAAATGTCATTTAGCATTTTTTCAATTCATTTACTTATTCTGTACATTTAGTGCAGTTAGATGGCACTTATGCTACTATTTTTTTAAATGTATATGTATGCATTCTGAAAAAATTATTTTTTGTATATAAATATATACATGTAAGAAACAAAAATATATTCTAAAAATTCAATACTTTTTAATTTAATTAAATATAAAACCAATATGAGCAATTATTTCATTTTTATGTTTTTATAGTTATGGTTAAACTATAGATATTCAAGAAATCCTAATTATAGCACAAAGCCAACATAACTCAACAATAATGAATAAATTCCAATTTCAAATTTGCTGCAACAGTTTGTTTGTTGTTACATTCAATAGCTGCGATCATATTCATATGTTGCATATACCATAACGTACTATGTAGCCACTACTTAAGCCTAAATGCATGCGACCCACTTGTAATACGACCATTAATGAATGTGCTATTCAATATTATCGATAAAAGCGAATTACACCGTATTTTGTTACCAAAGCAGATACATCCACACTTGAACATATATTAAATGCATACTAATGTGTTTTGTGTATTTTGCAGTTACAACATTTGTGCTATCCGCCATTGTCAGCCATGAGAATAAATTGGATATGGTCCACGTGCAGAATTCCACACTGGCTGGTGGCGTTGCTGTTGGCACTGTTTGCAATTTACTTATTGGTGCGCATGGTGCTGTGTTAATTGGAATTATTGCTGGAACAGTTTCGGTGCTGGGTTATCGCTTTTTATCGGTAAGTGTTGCATTTTAACTTTATTTATTTTATTTCACTACTTTTGTTTGATTTGATTTTGTGTACTTATTATTCCTACTTTTGTTACCATGACTATTTAAAAAGCATATTTCCTATGAAATGAAAAAATTAATATAAAAGTAAAATCAAACATTTGCACTTAAAAAATTATAATTAGTGCGCTCAGAAATGAATTCAACTTTTTACGAACTTTATGTTGAAAAATTTCACAAATGGCTAATTAAAAAGTTTGCTTTCATGAAATTTTTTATATCTCCTTTAGCATGTGCAAATAATCATGTGACATATATCTACACAAAGTATTGTGTTTTAAACAGATAAATTTACATGATGACTTATACAAAGTCATTGTAATATACAGAATTTACTAGAACGCCTAAACAAAAGATAGAACATAAGTATGTAATATCATAAGCAAAGTTTCCATAGGTAAAAATCTTTTATTTCAAATATGAACAAGAAATTGTGAATTTGAGCTATTAATTATTAACAGTAATTTATGTAAAAAAATTAATATCAAAAAAGTATTTAATGTCTTTACTACACAGCCATTTACAATACTTAAACAAGTACTGTATCATAACATAATTTTTTTTTTCAACAACAGCATACTTCTATTAAATAGTTTCCGAAAACAATGTAAAGTGTGTTGATTTAATATGCTTGATTTTTACGTTGATTAAAAATCGGGCGCTACTTATTGGGGCACAACACCCAATGGAAAAATGCAATCACTCAACGAATGAACGTAAAGAATACTGTCATTCCAACCGCATAACTTTTGGTTTTAACCACAGCTACCACAATACTCCCTTTAAGGGGCCAATCTATTGGGGAACACTGCCAAAGCTGCAAATCCATATTCCCGTAATACTAGGTTTACCCCTCCAGTCAATTGCAACAAAAGAAACTTCCACTCGCTCACTACCATTAATACTCCAGACAGTGTCAGGTGGAGCTTACTGATTTTCAAACGCTTCCTTTACAACAGGTACACCTTACCTAGCAAATATTCTAACTTTTTCCCGCAGGTGTAGTCAATGAAGTAACTATCTTTTATGTAAGCTCGCAAAACTATAAAAGTCAAATACCTGTACGTAAAATTATGCAATCATCGAATGTTTTTTAGACTAATCTCCATTATTTATGTTAAAATGACAAAACATTCATTCACATGCATTCAAAACACTCAGAACTAGATAAAAGTGAATATACATTCTTACTGGGAACTAAGATTTATCGACCTACAGACAAGGACGGAACTAGTATTTTATTCAAAAAATTTGATCTTTGACCCAAAATAAAATCAAAGTAACATCGTGAATACAGGTGTTAAAATTTCACGGTTTAATACATGTATATTTTGTCAATTGAAAATATAAACATCTCGCGTCTTTCCAACCTTCATGCGGAAGTAATTTCTCTGGTTTTTAAATCTACAAAAATAATTTAAACTAATGTTGAATTTTTGCAAGCACTATAATAAAGTTATATATATTGAATTTTAAATGATATAAATGTTGTATTTACATAAATTTTATTATCTTGTTTAATATATAAGATATCTCAAACTAGATAAAATGATTTTGTGCTACATGCTACATAAATATATTTTTTATTATCTGATGTTTATCTCAACTTTGACAAGATTATTCTTTGTCATAAGTTTTAGTGATATATAGAGAATTTGTTAAGAAATTTATAATAAACTAAAAAAAATACATGTTTTACTTAAGTCATCACAGTGAAAACTTTATTTAGTGAACACTCATAGCCAATCAAGTTTTGTTTCTTCAAGAGAAATATCTGGCTAAGTAGTAATTAAGTTGAGTCAAATATTGGTCAAAACAATCAGCTTAAGAAAAATAATGGAAGAAATATACACGTAAGGAGAGTATTTACTGTTTCGTCACAATTCGATATAGTAAATCAAATTCTATTTACTAATTTTATATATTTAGTTACTTGTCTAATTATTTATTTGCACACACACAAATCTTTAAGTTTTTAGGTTAACATAATGAGAAGAAACTAAATTATTAAAGTAATCGCTTATCCCAAAATTTTCATATTATCATATTAAATATTTTTTTCATTTTGACAGGATCGCCATATAATATTATCTTCACTCATAATTTGAACTTCAGTTATATTCTGTATTGTTAGTAATTTTCTATTCTATTAATATGATTGAGAGTCTTTAAATTAAGTTACTAATTCTGCTTAATGAAACAATTGCTCCGGAGAAACTCTTCGGAAGATCTATGGTCCCTTACGCGTTGGCGACGAGTATCGAATTAGATAAAACGACGAGCTGTGTGAGGTATACCGCGACATTGACATAGTTAAGCGCATAAAAATTCAGCGACTTCGTTGGCTTGGTCTTGTCGTGAGAGTGGAAGAAAGTGCTCCAGCTAGAAAGGTGTTTAATGAGGTACCCACAGGTGCAAAACGCGGTAGAGGACGTTCGCATCTCGGTGGAAGCACCAGGTGGCCAACGATTTGAAAGCGTTCAGCACTACCAACAGGTGACAGCAAGCAACTAATCGAGCTGCTGGCGAAGTCTACTAGAACAGTTTTTAAAAAGTTTAACACTTGTTTTAATAAAACAATATCTTTTCAATATTTTGACGGCAGAAATGTCGGTCAAACCTTAGAAAAATTGAGTTTAAGTACCCTTTCTACACTTTTATACAATATGGTATTTATCTATAAAATTAACTGAAGAAAAAAAGCATTACTTTGATTTATAAAAATTAGTTTCTGAAATTAAATATTGGATGTAAATGAATTACATTCTATTAATTTTCAAAATATTCAAAATAGTTTAAATTTAAAATATTTGAAAAGGTTTAATTTGTATCCAACCCGTTAAATTCATTTTGTAAACGCTAAACCTGCAATAATTATAGTACTAATTCGATTATCATAACCACTTTTGCGACTTCAAGATTGCCTGCACTAATTTTATCCGAAGTCTCTTTCTCTATTATGTCTATCTGAAGACTTTATTTTATTTTTGGAAACAACCAGAAATAACACTATGTTAGGGGAATATGGTGCTTCAGAAATTTATTTAATCTCTAAGAGCGCAATGAAGTTGTTTATTTTTTTAATATTGTCAGTTGGCAAATTATTGTGAAATATTAACGGAATTGACACAATAAACAACATATCAATAAATCATTTAGCAATTACGGAGACACGACACACAGTGTGGCCAAAATTTCATAAAAATAAAAGCTGAAAGTTAAACCATCTTTAAATGCAGTATGTTAATTTAGTTGCTAGACGGCATCTAAGTTAGAACATAACATACATGCCACCACAATTTTTATGCTTAATTTTCTAGTTTCTAGGTGTTCTTAAAAAAAGTTGTTAATTTTATAATAGTTTGGAGTTTTATCTGTTTAGCAATGCTAAATTTTTATTTATTCGTCAAAAAATGTGAGAAAAAGTGCTACTTAAATAAGTACTACTGATAATCTGTATGTAATTTGATATACGGAACTTTAAACATAAATAAAAAAAAAGGGCTGGAGGAAAAATTCATAAAAATTCACTCTAATGCATTTATAAACTCTGTTGCTCTAGTCCACTGAGCACAAAGGAAAATATGCAGACATCATCTATTACTTAAATCAGAGAGCCAAGTTTTTTACAACAAAGAGAAAACAAAACAATAAACAAAGAATATCAGAATTATATTCGAATTGATTCCTGAAAAGAAGCTTTTGTGTCTGACATTACAGATTCTCAGGATTCTAATGGGAGCATTATCTAAACTTTGTTGTTAAAATATAAATTTAAGTTTTATTTATTTAAGATAGGTAATAAAAATTTGTATGTCAAAGTAAACCGACTGCTACAATTTCTTCTCTTTAATTGGAAGAAATTATTGAGCAAAAGCACACTTCCCTATCTTGGAGCTGCCGTTAAAATTGGAGAAACTCGTCTTGCTTATTTCTTTATGTATCCAAGATATTTGTATTAACACCATGTTTATCAATTCATCAACAATAATTTTCTGGAACAATTTAGAAACTTTAACTCAATTTAAAACTTCAAACTTCAGAATATTTTAAGCATTTGATTGAGACTGAAAAATGTTCAGTCCAAGATTTTCAGAACGACTTCTAGATGGTCACAAGCGATGGTGCTTTCTCTTTATATCGTATTTGATATTCAATACATATTTTTTCATAGACTTAAAGTTATACCGAAATTCGTAAAGAATGGTAAAGTGAATCTTTTGTTGAAATTACGATGGAATTTGCTCTGAATTCATTAAATTTGCGTTTTGTTATTACTATTTTCTTGCTTGCTATGAAGCTTCAAATGAAATATTGGAATACTTCAGTTTTTGATTAATCAAAATTTAAACAAGAATGAAATAAATAATAAAAGTTTAAAAACCTATAAATTATCATTTTAGTATCACACTATTTAAATATCATAGTACTGTGTGACCAGTACTAAAACAGCTTCAGAGTTAGAATTCAAAAAATTGTATTGAGCACTATTTTGGGTAAATTGTCTCATCTATTAAATTTATAATACGTGGGCGGTTTGATAAGTCAGTGACTTTTTGAATTTTCCGCGCAGTTACTCCAAATGCAACAGTGCTGCCGTCAGCTGTAATCTACCAGTGGACAACTTTTTAATGTTGGTGTTTGATAGCCGTTCAAAGCAGACAACCTCGTACATTTTTACGAAAATGGAAAAAAGTGAATTTCGTATGCTAATTAAGCATTCGTGACCAAAATTCACGAATTAGGATACGAACTGCTACCCCATCGAGCATATTCTCCAGATTTAGCTACCAGCGACTATTTTCTGTTTCCAAACCTAAAGATATGGCTGTGTAATAAGAGATTTGAGTCGAATGAAGAAGTCATTACCGAAACAAACGCATATTTTGAGAAACTTTGAGAAACCTATTATGTGGAGGAAATAAGAAAATTTAAAAAACGCTGGACTAAATGTATCGAGCTAAAAGGTGATTATGTAGAAAAATAAAATGTTTATTTGCCGAAAGTAATTTGTTTTATTTAAAAAGTTATTGACTTATCAAACCGCCCTCGTACAATGTATGAAATACTCACAAAAGTAACTACAAAATAAAAATAGTTCATTAATTTTAAATCAAAGAAAAAATAAATACGATATACAACTATGCATATGTAAGATTTAAAACTATTTTTTAGGATATCTTGTAGAATAAAAAAAAAATTTTATTATTTTATATTTTTATACAAAAATCTCAATGCCTGCGTATTATGAATATTTTTGGTTTCAAAAAATTAGTCTTGCATAAATAAAAAAAAATGTTCTAAAACTCAAACTTTAAAATAATTTTTCCTAAAATTTTAGTTTTCTTTTATTTAATTATTTACGTACAGTTTTATTTTTAGTCTATTTATATTTTCTCCCTCTAAAACTTCCTACCACTATAAAATATTTAATAGTTTTACATATTAAGGCATTTAATACGAACGCACATCAACACATAATAACTGCCGTAATATTTAAGGCCAAATAAGAAAAATTTACTGTTAATATTTTTAATGAAAAATAAATTCATTCAAGCATACTTCAAATGTGGTATTATAATTCAAACCCATAAACTATTTACAACAACTAAGAGAGCATATGTTGCAATATGACATTTCCGGACTATAGTACTCGTATTAAGCTCAAGATATTTGATATGAAATTTATGATTTTTGGGTGCTAAAAGGTCAACATGTTGTATTATGCATAAATTCATAATTTTTTTATTACCATTTTGACAATTTCCCAGTTTCATTTTATTAATGAAATGTTTAAATTATTTCAATTCAAATGTAAAGAATATTTTCAAACCGAATTTTGTAGAAAACCTTTTTCATATCACAGAGATTTACTGCGAAAAGTCAAAGGCACTATATAAATTTTATTACATCTATAGTATACTCGAGCCGTCTACTTGCCAACCCTACTGCCCACCTGTGACCACATTAATAACTTTTTCATTTCGTATTGCAAATATTGAAACAGTATAAAATAAACTATTAAAGGAAATACTGAAATTAAACTTAAAATAAACAAATTCTAGTGCAGAGCACCAGGGAAGAAAAATTTTATTACGGCATTGAACACATATTGGTTTCGTTCTTGTGAGTATTTGTGATGTGCAGTTTAATGGCCTCAAGGCATTCTTAGCTATTTTATGGCTTAGACATTTCTGCACAAATTCCTACACATTCAAATATTTATTCAAAACAGAAAATTATTTTCCTATGCCATGCAAAGTTGTAGTTATTCAAAGAATTTATAGATTAGTGTGTATGCAAATGGAGAGATGCGAATGTTGATAGGTTTTTAGCTACGCACATAAAATGTTGCACAAAACTATTTTACGGTAATAAAAATGTCTTCGAATCCAACTGACACTTCAACCCCACAGGAGCAAATGGTGACTTGATTTTAATAACATTTATTTAAAATGTTATTGCTAAATAAAGGCATCTCTATAAAATTGCATATGTTTTTTATATTGATTTCTATTTATTTCATTTTTATTCTGAACCAGGTAGTTAGTCTTTTATTCTCAATTAAAAACACACCAAAGAAAATATTAATAAAAATATTCATTAAATTGAATTATAGATGTGGTAGAAAGTGACTCCTGTCGACTCTGTTATGAGGAGAAGGAAACATCAGAACCTGTTTTATGCAACTGCCCAGCGGTGGCAAGATGTAGACTCGATTACCTTGGAAGCGGGATATTAGTCCCAAGTCAAATAGGTAAAATTAAGCCCACAGCAATTACAAGATTTATAAATAGGCTAAAATTAACCTTTAGGCGCACAATAGATCTTTTAGGTCGCGGTGCTTTAATAGCCTATTACTTAAATAATAATATTAAATTGAATTTTAACGTCGGTTTTGACGAAAGAAACTAAATTCTTAATATAAACTATTGTTTTCAATCAAAGAATTAACCCAAAAAAAGTGATCATTGCACCATTTTCCAGAAGGTAATAACTGAATATTAGGTCCCTATTTATAAAAGATACGACTGTCGAATGCTCCGATGAAGTCAAATGAAGGGGATGAAGGTCAAATATTTTATGCTTAATACTTTGCTGAGCGCCTGGTCACATAGGAATCAATGATAATAAGTCTGCTGACAGTCTTACGAGGCCATTCAAATCTGTGGACAAGAGCCAAATTGTGAATTAAGTTGGTCTACAACTAAGTCTCTGATTCATAAATGGTTTTCAGCCGCCAAAAGTCACTACTGGCGTGACATTCCAGAGCTAGTTCATCCCTACAGTTACGCTAAGATATCTTTCTTCAGCAGAACAGAGTTGAGGTTGCTGGTGGGATATTAACCGGTTCACCATGGACTACGTTATGACCTTAACAAAATGGGTCTGTCCGAAGAGATAAATTATCGACTCTGCTTAGAAGCAGACAAGACTTCTAGTCACATTCTCTGTAACTGCCCAACCTTAATCTGGGCCAGAAAGACGTCACTGAGTAGCGAACTACTCTCCCCTTCTGACATTAGGAGATCCTCAACGGCCGACATTGTGGATTTCATTCGGTAGGCTGAATATCTTCTGTTCGGTGAGGGACTGTTGCAGCACAAAAGATCAAACATGGTCGCAGTGCATTGCTCCGTTTGGAACTGGTATCCCATTTATACCCATTCCTATTGTTTTCAATAGAAAGATATTTTGAATAGTATTAAGTTATAACAATAAAATTTTATTATTTCATTGATTAATTGAATTTTTGGCTGACCGTACAGCTGTTACGAGTATTACACAAATACCTATTCAACAGTGGTCTTGAATTTATTTTTTGTATTTAATTATTCGTAAATAATTATTTGAGACTGCAAGTATTAAAAGATGAACTCTCAACCTGCCAAATTTGAAGCTCAGAGTCAGTGTACATTAACCAACTGACCCAAAACCGTATATGACTTATATGTTGGAACTTGAAACTTTTATTAATTTGCTGTGAAAGTTCATTAAAAAATTCACTTGCTGAATTATAATAGAACGAAATCATAAGCCAGCTGTAATTTAATTAAATTAATTAATTACAATTTTATTTTTAATCAAGTTTAAAAGATTTATAAAAAAATATTTGTGTTATGCAATTAAGGATATATTACTTATTAATAAATCACAATGTAAATGAGCCAGTGAACTTTGCTCTAAAAAACAATTTGCCTCCATGTGGATCTTTGCGCTGTAAACCATCTAAATATCTGAAGTGCTTCAATTTAATGAATCGAGAATACTTAAAACTGAAGATGAGAATGAAAATAAATTTGAAAAACAAAAACAATATCAACAACATACACGGGATTATATCTTGGTATTTAAATTCCGCAGCGCCAAAACGAAATTTATATCAAATTGTACATTGTTTGTGTAATTTTTTGGTGCTTGTCGATAAACATTAATTTCTGCATATTGTATTCTGTTAAAATGTGATCAACCTACTAATACCTATAAGTGCTTCAAATTTATATCATTAAATAAAATTTAAATAATTAATATTTATAAGTACTGACAGACAAAATCTTTTTTAATTTCTTGTTTTACAATAGTCAGTCTAAAAGTCACATCTCCCTTTTACCTTTTTACGGAGAAGAAAATTATTTTATAACTCTTTTAACAACATTGAAAAAAGCTGAAGTTAACAACTGTAATTCTGTTAAAGCGTAATTAGTTTAAATAATTCATTAAATTTCATTTAAAATGCAAATTAGTCTCCGAAGTGCACTTAGAGGACATATGAACAAAATGCCGCACAATAACAGAACGTATAAATATTTGTGGAGTCAAGTGCATACAAGTGCAACATTTTCAAATTTTCCAGCTCACCATGGAGCAAATGAATGAATTGCTAATGCATTAAGTTCGGCTCAAAAAAAGGGTTTCCTCTGTGTACCAACTGACTTTACTGATGATGAAACGAAAGCGTCACTAAAGTTGAAAAGTTGATGGCACTTCAAGTTCAATTGAGCGAATAATTCAAGTATGTTAATGAAATTTATTTATAAAAAAAACAACAAGGGTTAGGGAAAGATTTTTTTACTGCTCGTATTTAAAATACTCGTATTTAAAATAATGTTAAAATTTTATTTGTGCACGTAATGAATTATTTTTATATTTTTATGCTCATTGAAATTTTATATGCAATCTGTTTCATTGCAGCCTCTGATGGCCTCCAAGTTGCGCATACACGATACCTGTGGCGTACACAATTTGCATGGTATGCCTGCACTCATTTCGGCCATTGCATCCGCCATTGTTGCTGCCTTGGTGACCAAGGAAAAATACAAGTCCGAAATGACTACAATCTTTCCGGCTATGGTAACTACAGAGGAAATTGAAGTTCAACAAACCCAAAACAGTTCAACTATCATATTGGGCGTAAGTTGTACAAAAACAAAAAGTATAAATATTTTCTCATTTTAATTTGTTTTAAATAAAATTTGTTTTGCATGCAACCATACTCATACTCAGGGCTACAATCGCACAGCTTCTGCACAGGCAGGTTACCAACTTTTCGGTATTGCCATGACGGTAATTGTGGCTATTGTTGGCGGCATTTTAACAGGTGAACACAATAAAATTTAAATATAATGTCTCAGAGCATCATGGCAAATTTCTAATATAAAATAATATTATATTTTCTTTTGCTTTTGCTTTTGCTATGGAACAATTCTTGCTCCTTGCTTCTGGAAGGTATTGTGCTTAAGTACACAAACGTTCGTAAACTAAATAAGGAAGAGCATCATCAGGACGAAGTCTTTTGGGAAGTGCCTGACCATAAGGAAGAATAGTAATGTGAAGATAAACTACAAAAGTTGCAAATCTAACGACAATAATTTTGCACTGAAAATTGCCGCAAATTGGCATTATCTGCATTTTGCACAGAAACTTCAAAACTATGCTTTATTTTACTTTGCTAAATAGTATATTTTTATATAATTTCATAAAATAACTTTTGTTTTTACATCACTTAGATCATAGATGAGTATGCGATGAGTATGCGATGAGTATTAGACATTTTTCTATCAAACAATTGTAATCGAATATCTAGCATTAATATTTTTTCTTTGCTTTTATTTTTTTAATAAACATAATTTTTAAATTCTAATCAAAACATCAATTTATTTGCATGTCTGTGTTGCCTTTATCCTTATAAAATTAAAACTTAAATAAGTTCCAATTACTTGTCGTCTTCGGCGGTTGAACTCAACAGTTTGCAACAACATTGGCGCCCATTGCAACTCCGCCACTGGAATGCAATTGTACCAGCAAGTAGTTTATACATGGGTCGTGTTTACAAATGAAATCAAAGTTAAATATTTTGATATAATTTTAGTTACTGTTAGTTATGTTAAACTAAAGTAAATACCAATTAATTAAAGGAAAAATATATGTTATTCTACTTAAATATTTATTTAACATATAGTAGTTTATAAAACTGTGCAAGTAAGTTAAGGTAACATAAATAACAATGCCAATATAAAATATTTTTCAATACTGATTTTACACTTGAATGTTAATTTATTTCAGATTTTATAAATAAACATCTTAGTATATGTTAAAAAGGTGTGCAAATATAACTTAGGTATTATAAGATATTAACTAAAATAAATACTTTTTAGATATTTAATCAATATGTTTTTCTAAATTCATATTGCTTTATGAAATCTATAAAAAAACAAAACAGAAGATAAGCTTTAGCTTTACTTGAATTGTTACAGATCTTGTATTAGAAATGGATTATTTAGCATTAGAATTAACAATATGATATAATAGATTTCCAAGCTAATAAAAATCATTTGATAAAAAAAATATTACATGTTTTGTGCAACTAGTGGTGGTGTAAAATTAATAGTTCTGACCACCACATAGATAGACAATGCTTCGCACATATAGTTGTGTTAAAAATCGAGTATTTTATAATAAATACTGATAATCATATGTCTAAACAAGTACAAAATTTAGGAGCAAAAATTCTTTGGGTTTAAACCTATTAAAAGCAAACTATCGAAAATACCAGCTATCAACAACAACCGGTAGAGCAAATTACCAGGAGAAACTGGTAGTTCCTACTCTTGGTAATAATTAATACTCTCAACTATAAATAGTAACCGATAGTCCTGACTATTGGTAGCTAATGACGTAAAAAACAAAACAACAAAAAAGACTTTTGGTAATAGTTTATAATCCTATCAGTAACAATGGATAACACTGACTACAATCAGTTAAATAATTAATTTTTAAAATTGATATTTTAAAATTTTTAAAAAACAAAATTTAAGAGTATCAATATTTCTAACGTTATAACCTTTCTACATTTACCTTCTTCCACTATCTACCTGTAGATAATATTATCAGTAAACAGTCGATGGCAGTTGGTTACAGTCATAGTTTCTAGACTAATCCACTGTTTCTACAATCATTCATCCCTTCACTTTCCAATTTCTAAAAAAAAAATACTTTCTAATTTACAGAATTGTACCTTTTTAATTCTAGGCTAAAAACTCTTTTTATATTTCTTCTCAATACGTTGGCTTGTACACAACATTGGTTCTAGAATTTGTATCACCTATTCCATTGCACAGATTAACTTAGGTAATTTCCATTGAATCAAGCTTTATATAAATGCGAAAATGTAAGATGGTACGGTAAAATAATTGACTTTCATATTTTTTAATTGCTCAGTATATTATTCAAGAAAATAAACAATCAAGAGCAAATAATGTATGCCCATTAACTTAAATTAATTAAAATTAAAAAAAAATCGAAGAATAAATATGTTCGTTTTTACTATGTCACAAGTCGTTCACAACAATATTTCCTTTCCTTCTTTGAATTGTACTTTAAATTCCTTCATCATGCAGCGTATTATATGGGTCTGTCTCCCAACGATATAAAAATATTGTTACAAGAGATCTGGCTCCTATGAAAATTATGATTGCAGAAATCGAGTAAAAATAAGGTATACAAAACAGCTTCGAAATTTTAAAGAAGTGTTGAAATAAATATATATCACACTTTTATCTAAAGATTAAGAAATTAATGGAGTGATATGTTTTTCAGTTTTAGATGTACAAGATATATTTGCTTCATTAAGCCCCAAATAACTGATCTATTGAATATATGTTATTATAAATATACAAAATGTGTGTGTGTTTGGATTTTATTTTTTACCTCACCTTACAGTTTCAACTTAGGAAAATAAATAATTTACTAAATATATAATATAAATATTTACGCAGAAGTTTTCAATAGAAATATTTTATGAAATTGGTCATTTTAAATAGATCAAAAATAAAAATGAAAACAATTGTTTGCAACATATTTAGCACAGGGATGGCAAAACTATGCCCCAATTTATTTTTATGTAGAGTCTTCTTTCATGAAGTACCTTCTACTCCTATTTATATATCTTTTACACTCAACAGCATCGCCACTGAAATGTCTTATGTACAATTGTTAATAATGAAAGTAGACTCTTAAAAATATTAACTAAACTAAACTATTACTAAACTTTTTTTTGAAGAGTATTAAATACAATTTTTTTGTATTTGGACACCAAAAGAGCAAAAATTGTTCTCAACCTAAACAAGAAGGCAATAAACACCTACATAAAATAGGTATATCGGACACAAATATTTGCAAATTCTGCTATGATGAGGAACATTGATCACCAACTGTGATGTACTAGGCCACAGAACTAACAACATTTAAGGTACATACCAACTAGAGTATGAAGACCTTTAAAAACTCTCTCCGAAGAAGCTGATTCGATTCCTCGTGATACTAAATGTCTTAATACAAATGAGCGCACAATATAGCAAGTCGGTTGCAGTGCATAAACCATACAATTTTAGTTGCCTGCAATTAAAATTTCTTCTTATATGCAAACGAAATTATCTCCACAATAATTAGTGAAACTTATATTATTATTGGTTTATTTCACCAGATAACGGTTGTACCGGTTAATTATGTTTTAAAAAAAAACCAAAATTTCAAAAATAAAAATAATTCAGTATGCAGATAATTTTTTTGTTTAAATTTTTTAATTTTAATCTAATTTTTTATAAACAGAAACAAGTTTTAGCTTTATTTAATCACAAAAGTCTCAGAAGACTTCTAAAATTTATTCTCACGAATTCCCTGCTGACTCAATATAAAAAAATTAAACACAAATTATTTGTTTATTTTATTCGCTTTTATATTTATTTGGTTTTTGTATACACAACAATTGACAATTGACAATCGCCACAAAATTGTGGCTCTACATAAATGCTAAATGTATCTAATCATATAACCAGCGAAGCGTCATTTGTCAGCTGCTATTGAGCCAAACGAAAAATCAACAATAACAATAATGCCCCAACGAAAATGAGAAATATGAGAGCTGCGAGCGATACTGTTGACAGGCAGTATCAAAACAGTATAAATAACAATAACAAAATACTTACAGAAGACCCGCACATAGAATGCAATGCACAGCAGACTGAACCGCTCCACACAAATCTACAATCAGTTGAGGCAGAACCACACGCCGGAAAAGCTCATTAAGAAGCGTTGCGATGACAAATATGGGCAATTGTTTTATTTTATAATTCGATTTTTTAGCATAGAACGAATACGAATACCGTCGGCTCGAATCGAAATACTCGTAGTCAATTAGCCAAATTTCTAAAAATACAAACATCCTAGTTTTCTCTTCAGAATTTTGCAAAAAATTATCTATCTAATGGCATTCTAAAGCAGTACACGTTGAATATTTATGATGAGATAAATAGATTTGTGTTCGAGTTCCAAATCAGACAAAAATCATTGAAAATGTTGCTACATTTGTGATGATTACATTGCAACCTGCCGTGAGGTGTACATTGTCGAAAAGGTTCCACATTGCGAATAGTTGACATTGTTACGCTTTTGTTCCGAAATGAAAGAAAATTCTACGCGGTACTTTTACGTTTTCGTGCACTATTCGAGCGTACAATATTCCGTACGGGAATTTATTCATATTCTAGAATGACATTACGCTAACCTGTTATGTGATTCACTGCTCGTTGGTTTGTATGAATTGTGATTTTAGGCTATATTTGTATGGTTTCATGCATTGAATGCATAGTTTCAAGATCAAAAAACACAAAAAAGAAAAATTCATAAATTGTAGCGTAAAATTCTGAACGAAAAAAAAAATTAAACTGAAATTTGCAACAAGTTGAAAGCAAAAACCTCTGGCAGACACAAAAACATGGCATCAGATATATCATCAATTAGCAGTATGAAGAGACATCTGTTAACAGTCGAGAAACTGCGAGATCGTGTTCGCAATGTGCTGAAATGTGTTATTAATTTGCATATCGAAATTTTAGTAAGTATTCTTTTCTTTTTATACATGCTTTAATTTTATACAAACAATATACTAAACCGTCACTTTCCCTCTTCCATCTAAAAAGAAATGGTCAGTAAGGCAATAATATATTCTAATTATTAATTAATTTAGATAAGAAAATTAATTGCAAATTTGAAGTTTTTTTTAACCTTTTTTAAATCAATATTACAATTATACATTAACCCATTTCGGACCACTGCGTGGTGCAACACACAACTAGCTTTGAATACTTTTTAATATACAAAGAATGTTTTATATGTTTTAGATAAAAATAAAGTGACTAATTTTTTAAATAAGTATTAAACTTTTCTCATTTACTTAAACCTGTTTTATTTTACTATTAACTATTAAATTCACCGTAAAATTTAAAATCTGAAATTACCTGGTACTTAATGGGCTAAACAAGTTTTATACCTATATAATTTAACCTCATGATTGTTTGATCCGAAAAACAAAAAATAACATATTTGTTGATGATGGACCTTTTCCAATACATTTTATATTACATGGAAATAAATTCTTTTATTAGGAATAAATGTAAACAGAGAGGTTTTGAAAAGTAGTGAACTATAACAACAAAAATTTTATTTATATTATTTTAATTAATTTAATTTTTGACTAACTATACAACTGTTTCGAGTATTGCCAAATAACCATCATATGTGATTTTGGAATTATTTTTTGTATTTAATTATTCGTAAATAAAATTATGTGACTGCAACTACCATGAATTGAACTCGTGCACTGCCAAATTTGAAGCTCAGAGTCAATGCACATTAACCAACTGACCCAAAGCCATACTTGACTTATATGTTCGAACTTGGAGTTTTGTTAATTTGCTGTGAAAGCTCATTCTTAAATCCATTTGCTGTGTTATATTAGAACGAAATCATAAACTAGCTGTAGCACCTACAATTGAATTATATGATATATCTAAATATCACATATATCATGATATATATGTATCAGATATATCATGATATATCTCTAAGTGTAACTTCCCGTAGAAAAGTAGTAAAATCATGAAAATTGCATATAAAGGTTGTTAATAGACTGCATTTAATATAAATTTTAAAATATTTCTGTAATATATTATCA